TCCCGCTCTCGTCCCCCAGCACGCAGGGCTCGGCGCTGTCACACGCTCAGGCTTCGCCGCCCGCGGTCCTCAGTAGGCGCTGTCTGTCCTGGCCGCTCCTTCCCGGGCCGCGCGCCGCCGTCGGAGTTCGCCAGCCCGAGCGGTGTGCTGTCTCTCTTGCAGTTTTGCACATTCGGGAGCCGGCAGATTGGAAGAGGCTATTACGTGTTTGACTCCAGGTGGAACCGGCTTCGCTGCGCCCTCAACCTCATGGTGGAGAAGCATCTGAATGCGCAGCTGTGGAAGTGAGTGCCCAGCTCTGCACCCGTGGGGGCCGGTGGGGGCGGACTTGGCCCAGTGCGCTGCATCCTCTTTATTTCTTCTGGGCCTAATTTCATGAAGATACTAGTTTCTGAAATGACGACATGGCCTTTGACCAGCCGTGAGAGGAAGCACCCTCATTATTCATTGTCTCCCACTTGCAGCAAATGTGTCTTGTTCTCGGGACCGGGGTTTCCGGCCAAGGGAGTCCCATGTGGACGAACCTCACGTTCTGGGTGGGAGAGAAACACAAAAGCCATTGAGCAGAAAATCAACATTGTAGCTTTCCATACGGGAGCTCTCGGAAACATACTCGTATCTGACATTTACAGAGGCTGACTGCAGGCCAGGCCACTTGTTAGATGTTGGATTCGCACAGTGCACCGTGTCCAGTGACCTTGACTATTCCTGTTTTACAAATCATGAAACTCAGAAACAGGTCATACAGCAAGTTAGTGGTAGAGCGCTGGGATATGGACCCTCCTAAGGGCTGGGATGGGAAAATAACAAGCCAGAGGGATTCAGGGCCTCTCTGAAGGGACCCTTCAACTGAGATGATGGATGAGAAAGTGCAGCCCCGGGCTGGCAGGGAGGAGTGTGTTCCAGGCAGAAAGCACCATACATGTGAAGGTCTTGAGTCAGAAAAGAATGCAGCTTGTTTGAGAAGGAGCAGGAAAGTGAGCCTGGTACCAAAGGAGATCCTAGAGGCCAGCAGGGGTCAGATGACACTGCATTTGACTGAAGGCAGTGGGGAGCCACTGAGGGTTCTAGGGAGAGGAGCCCTTTGCTCTGATTTACAGTTTAAGATAGGATCATCATCTTGTGTGGCATTATGCATGCTTGTGTTTCCCAAATGTGATTTTAAAAAGTAGAGGAAGAGTTTCGTGGCCTGAAAGGTTTATTAGCTCAGCCTTTCCGATAGTAAAATGGTTTTTGTTACTGCAGGACTTCTCAGAGCCTTTACTGGGCACTGTCTACTGTAGCTCTCAAAGCAGGGAATGTCATGTATAGTGTGGACCATCTCCCAAGCTTTTTTACCTGGGAACTTCTTTTAGAGGAGCATCTTGGGGATTAGTGTTTGATGGAACCTACTTTTGGAAATACTGAGCTTTGCTAAAGGAGGCTGTCCAGTAATCCATAGTCACCCCAAATCCTCCATTGGGGTATCATTTACTAGTGCCTCCTTGATTGGACTCTGCGGGCATATCAACTGGCCTCTCTGCTTTGGTTTCCTGATAAAGTCAGAGGAGGCTGATCAGAGACCACGGACAGTCCACAATCCAAAGAACCATCTCCATGATCGCTAATAGGACTTGCAGGTTTTCACTGAGAAAAGCAGCCCCCCAGCAGTGCTGTTCGGGCTCTCTGTTTCCCATTTCTCCCTGGTTCTTACTAGATGAGATCCTTGGTAAAGGAGCAGCGTCCTGGCCCAGAGGCCGACTTGGGCAGTGGTGCGTTGGGATTCTTGTGTGTTGAGGGGGATGGTCTTTCCACATCAGAAAACCTTAAGATGCGTGAAGCCTCAGCTTCTTACCTGACTACCTGGTGGGACCTGGAGAGTACGCTGAGCTCAATTTTGGATACATGTGCTCCCAGGATTTTTGTCCTGGTGAATTGATAACTGGTTTATGGCCAGCAGTTTGGGTGAAGAGTTTTGGGTCCTAGTGGTTTGTGTGGGGAGGTTTCAAACACTTTGTGTGATGAGCGTCTGAAGAAGCAGGGTCCTGAGGTGGACCCCGCTGTCTGTCTCTGTGACACGCTGAGGGCCGTAGCAGTCACTTGCTCCCAGCGAGGAGGAAACCATTCCTTTCTGCTAACACACCCTTTGGTTTTGACAGAGTCAGTTCAACAGAGACCGACAGGCTGGCATATGGCCTGGGGCAGATGGGAACTTGGAGAGAGGTGCCAGGCCAGGAGCTTGAGAAAAGAAATGCTCCAGACACTGGAGTCAGGGGCTGGTGCAGGCAGCCCTGGAGATGTGCTGGCAGTGGCTCGGCCCTTCTCAGCCAGGGGAGGACTGATCCTCAGGTGGTGCCTATGAGGCACTCAAGGGCACTGTCGAACTGGCCCGGGTCCCATCCTCTGGCTCACCAAGTCCTCCCTTCCGGGAAGAGCCCCAGGTCGGGCAGCACTCCTCGCAGGCCGGACCCTCTGGTTCCTTACTGTGGTTAGTCTGGGGACAAGCAGAGGCGGGATGTGAGTCTGACAGTGAGCTCGGTCACCCTTTGGCGTGTGCATCTTGGGATGGCAGTGACGGTAGACCAGCCCTTCCTCTGGAGCACGGCCGTGACCCAAAAGGCTGTTTCCCGGCTCCTGTGGGTTCTGTCAGCTGCGTGTGCGCTGGGATGGGGACCACTGTTGCCCGTCCACGAAGGAGAGGTTGGGATGGGCATCGAAGGGGTTTTGGGTTTTGGTTGTTTTTTCTAGTATGATTTTTTTTAGATTATAATAAAACCACTTGGCGAGAAAGGGAAAAACTAATATAAAGAGGTATGCAGCGAAAAATTTGAGTCCCCCGACCTCCACACAGCTGTGTCCCTCCCACTGTCCACACACACAAGTGGTTTTAGTAGTTGCTTATGTCTCTGTGAGTTCATTTATGCAAAAGAAGTCAGTGTGAGTCCATGTTCTTCCTTTGCCTCTTCCTTATGTGAAAGGTAACAAATAACTTAAAAGTGTTTTAAAGAAGAACCAGTCGTGTCCAGAGGGATCCAGGTCCCCGCCCCTCTTGGAGCCTTTCCTTTTCCCCGGGATCTGCTTCCCGCAGCCTGGCCTTTCGGCTCAGTCTTCCTAAGCCACCTGGTGGCCACCAGAAGCCACTGCGCCCAGGGAGCAGGAGCCCCCGCGCTGTTCGGAGCAGGGCTTCCCACAGGTGCCAGTGCCCGGGAATTGCCTGGCGATCTTGTTGAGAGGCACACTCTGAAGGGACCAGGGGGCACGGCGTGGGTTCAGACACTCAGCATTTCTAATCGGCCTCTCAGGCGATGTCAGCGCTGGTCCTCCCCGAGTAGCCTGAGGACAGAGCCGGCTTCTCTACCTTGGCTTCGCATTGGAACCTCCTGGAGAGATTTAGAAGTCGCTACTGCCTGGACCCCGCCCTCAGCGACGCTGGGGTGGTCCGTCTGGGCGTGGCTCAGCCTCCACCGGCCATGCTGATGTGCAGCCAAGTTGGGGGCATGGACTTAGGTGTAGAGCTGCACTCCGAATGGGGGTTTTAGGCTGGCACATGAGTTGGTGTAGCTACTGTCTTTTATTAGTAACTGTAGATCTTCTTAAGAAGCCTGTGGAGGGCATTCTGGGCCAGCTCTCTCACGTGAAGGGGTCCTTGCTGGGGGGACCGGAGCCCTAGCCAGGCCCGCCACAGGGAGTCAGGAGAGGGCAGCCTTGGCACTGACTTCCCAGTCAGATCATTTTCTGTTTTGCCACCTTGGTGTTAATTATGCCCTCGGGGTTTTTGAAACTTTGCTGCCGGCACATGTTTAAAATCAGAGCTAAAATAAAAGTGAGGTCCCCCTGGTTTGACTGTTGGAATACCTACCTTACCCAGGCAGTACTAACGGAATGCATTATTAGAACACAGTGACGGGGAATCCCTGGGATCTGGGGGCTTCGTTCCCTTGTACAGTCACTCAGGCCAGGAGCAGGGGCCTGGCAGTTGTTAATAATTAGCTGTGCCCTTTTTTTTCTCCTTCATTCACGAGTTCTTTCAGCGTTTGAGGGCGCCCTGTATTCCAGGCACTGTGCTGGGCACTGGGGCTGCAGGGTCAGTCAGGTGTGGGTCACACCATCTGCAGAAACGCTAGGCAGTGGTCAGCAAGTGATCACACAGTAAAACTACCAGCATCCTCCGAAGTGTGAAACTAAGCAGGTCAGGATGGTCAGGTCAGCACAGATTTTCTAAGAGTGATGATGGGCTGGAATGGAAGGTTGCGGGGGAGCTGGGGAGAAGTGCGGTAGGCTGAAGATACACAGAATCGCACGTCATGGCCTATTCTAGGAACTTGAGGAGGACCAGTGGCCGGAAGTGGGGGACTGGAGGGGTGGCCGGGAGTGGCCGTGTGAACCCGCGCAGTAGCAGTGGGTGAGCACATGGCCGGACAGACCGTTATTCTGAGAGCCCGGGAAGGGCACTGAGAATTTGAAGGGGAGGTGAGCCTTCATGTGGCCCAGCGTCTCAGAGTGACCCCTCTGACCAAGGGTGTGCTCCGTGCCAGGGGTGAGTCCTTCTGAAAGCTCCCCCGAAGGGCCACGGCAGGCGTTACTCATTGCCCGCTTCCGTTTTGCAGGAAAATCCCACCAGTGCCCAGTACATCACCCGTCTCCACACGTGTTCCTCATCGGACAAACTCTGTGCCGACGTCACAGTGTGGGGTCAGCTGTGTGGCAGCAGCCACCGTGTCTCCATCCCCCGTCCTGCTCGCGTCCACCTGCATCTCCCCCAACAGCAAATCGGTACCAGCTCATGGAACCACACTGAATGCACAGCCCGCCGCCTCGGGGGCGCTGGATCCGGTGTGCAGTATGCAATCCAGACAAGGGCCCTCCTCCTCCTCCTCCCCCTCCACGCCCTCAGGCCTGTCCTCCGTGCCCTCCTCCCCCATGTCCAGGAAACCTCAGAAGTTGAAATCCAGCAAGTCTTTAAGGCCCAAGGAGTCTTCTGGTCACAGCGCTAACTGTCACAACGCCAGTAGCAGTACCAGCGGCGGCTCAGGAAAGAAACGCAAAAACGCTTCCCCGCTGTTAGTTCCCTCCATCCTCCTCCTCCTCCTCCTCCTGCTCGTCTTCTCATTCCATGGAGTCTGTTAGGAAAAACTGCGTGGCTCACTCGGGGCCTCCCCACCCCGCAGCGGTCGCGTCCTCGCACGGCCTTGGCCTCAACTGCGTGGCCCACAGAGCGAACTCGGTGAGCGCCCGGCACGACCCGGCGGGGAGGGGCCCCCCTGGCGGGAGCCCGGCCGAGCCCATCAAGAGGATGAGCGTGGTGGTGAGCAGCAGCGACTCCACGCTCTGCCTCGGCCCGCTCGTCCACCAGGCCAGCGAGCTGCCCGTCAGCTCGCACGGCGGCTACCCGCACGCGCACACGCCCCTGGACAAGCTCGTAGGAAAGAAAAGAAAGTGCTCGCCCGGCTCGAGCAGCATCGGTGGTGGCGGTGGTGGCGGCGGCGGCGGCGGCAGCAGCAAACCGAGCAAGGTTGCCAAACTGTCAGCCATGAACCACGTGCACGTGAAACACCCGGGTCCCAGCGCGGGGGCCCCAGGACTGACGAACAGTTCCCTCCTCCATCAGGTAGGACACGGACTGGGAGCCCCGTGGGGAGGCCCGCTGCCTCTCCCCTGAGATCTTGCGCCAGCTCGGAGATCAGTGTGGTCCGGGTGGTGGGTTTGCCTGTAAGCAAGTGTCCGGCTTTGTGGTGTCTTTTTAAAAAAGGAGGAATTCATGGCCATGTGAAGGTCAAACAGGCTCCTCTCTGCCAGACTCTCTGATGACCTGGAAGATGCTCCTGGGTGAGGAGGCCGTGCGAGCGCATCCTGGCAGCCAGGGCTGCGGGGCGGCCCAGCCCTCCCCGCAGGCAGCAAGCGTGGTCCCGGGCGGACGGCGTGCGTCCCGGGACGCTGTTCAGGAAGGAAGCGGGCGTGTTTCCTGGAGAGCAGTGCTTTAGTGTGCTTTTCTGAAGAAAGGGAGGCTAAAAATCAAACTCATCTAGAAAGGGGTGATTTAAATTGGAAAAAGAAAGAGCTTTTCATATTTTTCCCATCAAACAATTTCAGATTTGCTGGTTAATTCTCTCCCTGTATCGTCTCCTCCCTGTTCTCCACGGAGGCAGGAGAGCAGCATTCTTTTTCCGGGCAGAGCAGACGACGAAGGTCTCGTTTAAGTGAACAGATTGAAAAGAAACCTGCGCGTGGCCCGTCCGTAGAGGGGCCGCCGATGGTGTCGTGTCGCGGCTGGCCGTGGTTTTCTCTCTCGGCTCGCGTCTTCCCTCTCCCCGCCTTCCACCTGCTGCCTTTTCCTCCTGACCTTCTCTCCAGAAGCCGCTTGCTCCAGCTTCCTTTCTTTCCCGTCCAGCTCCTCTCTCATCTTGTCGTTGCGTCCAGCAGGATACCTCCTCTCCTGGCTTACGAGCAGGAAGGGCAGCCGCGACACCCTCAGAGCCCTGATTTAAAGCGTGAGGCTCTTTTTTGTTTTGTTTTTTTTATCTCCCTCATCTGTAGAGCTTAAATGCCAGGTTAGAACTTTTTCAGAGCATATCAAGATGTTTCTTGCTGTGATACAGTTTCCCCTCCAGTGTTGGTGTGAATTAATACTCAGTGCCAAAGGTATGGGGAAGGTAATTATCCACGAGGTCAGGTAGCAACTGCTTAAGGTTTTTGGAGGGGCCACAAATACACATGGGCTATTTGTGTGTCATTTGGGTCTTTGAACAGGGGTTCCTGGGCAAGTGAAAACTGTTTGGTTTGTAGTTATTATAGGTTATGAGGAGCCTAAAAATGCAGTGCGAACACCGCAAGCATCCATCCCTTATGAACTGCCTTCTGAGTGTGGTTTCCTGATTCACGTGCACCCCGGGAGGGATGTTCCGCTGCCCTGTGATGCCCACGTCTGCATTGCTGTCTCCACGTAGAACTGGCCGCAGACCTTACTGCCCACAAGTGATAGGAAGGAGAGGAGGAGGCTGGGGGTGGGCGCAGCAGAGAGGATCAGTGCCTGTGAACCCCTGGGGAGGGGGAGCCCCGTCCACATGGAGCAGCTGCTCCCAGAGACTTGTTACCAGTTTCTCAGAGAAACTGCAGATCGGGACTGACATGAGGGATCTGACCATTTTCCAAAGCTCTGTAGTTTTTGTTGTGTTTTTCAGTCTGGTGTAGCCTACATATCTGTCGGCTCAGTCTGTCGTAAGCTACCAGTTTGCCCCCTCTGATTTCCGCCGTCTAGGGGGCCAGGCCCCACTAGGACGAACAGCCTAAGTTTGGGTTCTTTTCCGTAGAAACGTCAAGTTTGTCTTTGGGAAAGGCCCCCTCCGTGCGGTGGAGCGTTGCTATGGTGTGCAGGTCCTGGGTGCCTGTGGCTATAGATCAGAGGATGGGTGACCACGCCAAAGAGTGTTGCGTGTGGGTTTTTTTTTTTTTTTGCAATCATGTATCTGCAAGAGGCATCCCATAGCTTTCCTCAGTATCCCACAGGGACCCGCGACTACAAAATGCTGGGAAGGATCCTGCTCTTCGCGCAGCAGGGACCGCTGCTCGCTGTTCCCCTTGGAGCTGGTTGTAGAGAGAGATCACTGAGCTGGTTGACATGCCCTCAACGAGGGAATCTGTGGGACCTGCTGGGGAACCTGGGAGACGGGGCTGGGTGGCGCCCCGTCTTTTCGTGACCTCTGCCACCAAGGACTGAAAACTAGCTCACCATGGGGACAGCGGAGGCAGAGTTCCCTCCGCCCGGCACGGGCACTGCCTTGGGTGTGAGTTTTCACACCTGTGTGTGCTGGCCCATTTGACCTTGTTCCCTTCTCAGCTGACAACCTGGAATGCCTTCAAGGAAACAGCAGCAGTAGATAAAACTGAAAGGCAAACACGGGAACCTCTTCTCTAAGCTGGAAAGCTGGCCTGCATCTCTTCTGGGCAGTTTTCTAAAAGCCAGTCTTTTAGAATGATCGTGCCCAAGGGCAGTGAAGGCGTTTGAAAGCTAAGGCCAGACCTGGGAGCTGCCTGCTCCTGGCGTCGCCCCATCGGCGGAGACATGAGTGGCGAGTGGCCTTGGGAACACCTTGTTTAGAGCCAGGGCGGGCCGGGTACAGCCGCTTACTTACCTTTCCTTGTCTCCCCACCCCCTCTTTTTTGAAAGCCAAAGGCGCGTCCCTGACAGCTGAAAGTAGCACGGGGAGGAGTATCTGGACACTTTTGACGACAAGTTACACCTCCACTCAGCACTCTGGACGCCACGATGCCTTTGAGTCTGTTTTCCCAACCTCCTGTGGGCCTCGAGGGTAGGACTCTGCCGGGCTGTTGTTTTCCCGAGGATGTCCCCGAAGCTCTGTCTGTAGCAGTGAGTACTTGTAAAGGACCCTGGGTCGAGTTCAGCCACCCGGTTGCTTTATCAGTGTTAAAGGGGTCTGGACCGCGCGCTCCGATCCATGGGAAGCTCCCGCCTCGCTGTCGAACCTGCAGTGTATCTCGGAGTCCCTCTTGGAGGAGGTTGGCTGGGCACAGAATGTCTTGGCGAGAGCGAGACGGTAGACTTTCCTCCCTCCCTCCCTCCTCTCCCCTCCCTGGCTCTTTTCTCACCCTGTCGTCTGTCGGTCCCTCTCCAGCTGTCAGGCACCTGACCTGGAGACACCTCCCCAGGGGGCGCGCAGAGCTGCACCCCGAGCAGCCCTCTCGAGGAAGGGCATCTGCTGGTGGCTTTCTGTAGCAGTGTGCCGGGAGTGGGATTCGGACGGTAGCGCGAGGCGCCCTGAGGAAAGCGCCTGTGTCTGTGCTCAGCCTTGGCAAGTAATTTGGGATCAGAAGCCGTCAAGTTTGTCACGTACAGACAGGTTTAAAGCCATTGATGCCCAGAGAGCAAGTATTTTAGAGGCTAACTTTTCATGGTACAAGAGCAATTCTGTGTGATTTTTGTTTGTTTTTAAAAAGAAAATGCAAATACAGTTTTGATAATGGAAAGCCAAATTTCGGTTGGGGGGGTGGATAAAATCACTGTAGGGGGAAGATACTTTCCAAGATTTCCAAAGAGATGGAATTTTTTTTGACTTTTAAGTGTTCACGTTACACAGTCTGCCACTAGGCTGGTTGTCCTGCCCAGTCTTGTGTTTTTTAAAAAAAAATTGCCTTTGTAAAATCAAGTAATTAGGTTGCGGCGCAAACTGTCATTCACAGAGTCATCGACACACTTAAATGTTTCCAAGGCACTCTGCATTTTATCCTCAGCCTCTTCTTTCGGATACAGTCCTGGGACTAAAACATTTCCGCTTGGAGTACTCCGTGTGTTGCGTGTCTCCACGCCCCTTCCTGCACGACACATGTCGCTGTGGGTGCCGTCGGGGTGGGGAGCCGACACCCAGGGAGGGGCGGGGGTGAGCGTGTACACGTCCCCTCGCGGTAGTGATGTGACGCGCGCCTGGCCCCTGACATACCTTCTTTCAGGGGACTGACGCCTGCCGTCTCCCTGAGAGCTCTGGGGACCCTCCAGGGTGTTTTTTTCTAGTACCCCGCCCCGAAGAAAGACCCTGAGAGGAGAAGACACCATTGCTTGAGAAGGTATCGTTGAATTTGGGGGATGAGCTGGAGCTTTTTAACACATGATTCCACCACCGCAGCTCCTGAAAGGAGAACCAGGCACTTCTGCTTAGAAGACACAGAGTTGCCGAACACGGGGTAAACTTCCCAAGGCTCTGAGCGTCGCTCCAGGCAGGGCTGGGACAGAGCCAGTCAGTGCATCCATTTTCCTTACAGTTCTTGGGTTACAGACATCAGTTTCAGGGAATTTCAAGTCAACAGCAGGTAGAGTGAATAAATACTTGGTTACCAGCCTAATAATGTGAATCGCTACAGAATTCTTCTTCTTATGTGAGATAAGAAAAACTTCATGCAGATACTTTAGCTATAAATTGATGTAAGATACTGATTTTGTTTTTAAAGGAAGGGGAGGACAGTATCTTGTTCACTTATTATGCAATCAATCAGTAAATGTTTTCTAAATGATACTGTAAGAGAGCTTGTAAGCAGAGAGCTTGGATGGGCCAGTTTGGTGTAGTTAGGAGAAATCAGTCTGGTTGCTCCATCCCAGCAGAGGGAGAGAAAGGAGGTAAGGGGGAATCAGAACGTACTTCGTTGATTCCTTGGTGACAAGTGCAATGGGGTCGGGGTAGAATTTATTCTCAGAGCCAAGGGGACTTGATGGTTATAAAGTTGCTTTTAGCGACGGAATTTATAGACAGATCATGTTGTTCCAGAAGATGTGAATGAGATCCGCGATAGCAGGTTGATTCAGAATCATGTAGATAACTTAGATTAGCACGTCCTGATCATCTGGTTTCTTAGACTGAGGTTTTAACTGAATTTCATTATTGTCTCCCGGTCGTACACGGAGCATCGGGAATAGGAAATTAGCCATTTTGGATTCTGCCTGCCACAAACAGACCTATTCTAAACAGTGCTATTAAATTTTAGACTGTTGTTCAAATATTTTATTTTCTCCTACAGCGACTTTTTATGACGACGAACAATTAAGACCATTTAAAACATGGGAGTACAAGTATTTTTTTGAATTAAATTAACTTGCAGAAACCAAATTTGCAGTGGTTGGGTTGTTTCTAGACAGACTTTGGTATCAATTTAAAACCAAGATAATTTTTTATATTCTTTCCAATAGAATTTCACGACAACTCCTGCAGTTTTCTTAACCTACAAAAAAAAAAAAAAGTGCTGCAATGATGAACAAAGAATTATACAAAACCTACTTTTGTATCTTTATTTTGGAATTTCTTGTTCTATTATAAATATGGAAGTATCCCTATTTCAGAAGACATATTTTGTTAAAAATGAATTGTACATATTTAAATATGTATTTTTGCACAGGTCTTTTTTTCTGATATCCTGTTTTGGTACAATTGAGATCATCTAGTATTTATTTATTAATTAATAAAAGTAAATACCTTTTTATAATTTGAAGTGGTTCACTGCCAAGCCAATAGTTCTAGAACCTGCCTCCTTTACAGTTTAAGGGATGCGTCTGTTCTGTGAAAGCCTTTGTCCCTTTCCATGTCTCGGGAGTGGATTCATACAGATGAAGTGGGCATTGCTTCCCCCTAGTTGCCTGATTTCCTGATAGACTACATGTAATAAATGACACACTGCTTTTCCTTCGTTAGTGTTGTGCGTGTGAGCGTGTGTGCGCGTGCGCGCGCGCCCGTGTGTGTGTGTGTGTGTGTGTGTGCGCCCTGAGCACGTGTGTTAGTACGTGATGTGATGAAAACAAATGGAAAAAAACTGAAAGTGCCTGAACCTAGTTTTAAGCTTAGACACATACTTTAAAAAGACTTGAATGTTCAGTTGAACTTTTGGAGTTTGCTTTTTCCACCTAAATATTGTTAACTAAAATTTTAAGAGGAGGAGTTGAAAACCACCAAATGCTGGTCATTTTATAAGGTATTTTAAAATGAAGACCTTTTGGGTCACAGTAATTCAACTGGTGATGGATTGCCCGGTGGCACCAAGGGTTAATACATCTTCTTGTCAGCCAGCAACTTAACAAAATGCGTCCGTTTTGTTACTCACTCGTGAAACGCAGAGTTTAAAATAGAATATTTAAAATATTTTGTATTCCAAAAATATAATACAAAGTACCTCTGAGAACACTGAAAAACAATGTATAATTGAAAAATGTAACTTATAAAGGCAGCTGTCTTCCTGCAAGAGTTCTGTTGCCAAGGAATTTCTTAGTATCTCTCATTCTGTCCTGCGGGGGGGAGAAATTGGGCTTTGGAAGATGATTGTTTAAAGTTTTATTGTTTAGCAGAAAATAATCATTTTTGCATTTTGTGCAGAACCTTTTACATTTTCAGATCATTAAATGAGCACTACATACTGTCAGTGTGAATGTAGGGCCTTGAAAGCATTTTGCTGTTTTGTTTTTTTTTTTTTGAGCTTGGTTATAAGAGCAATCTCCTGTGTTAAAATGTGTGAATAGTTTGATCATTTGTACACATAATCAAGAACATCTCAGCTGGACTCTGTGTTGGCTGCTGTATAGAACATGAACAAATGTCAAGGGATAGAAAATTACTTTGGATATTTAAAAGAGAAGAAATATATAGTCTATTTGTTTTGTAACAAGTTTCTGTAAATAAAATAATTTATACTATTTATAAGAAAAAGTTGTGCTTTGCTTTATGAGAAATTAGTCTGTGGAACAAACATGTTACAAACGGGCAATAAAACTAGGACTTCTCAATAAATGAGGTTGGCTGCATGAAATGCTTCACCTGTTTCTGCCTCGTTGTCATACTACGCCCCTCTCCATCTGGTCTGCCATTTCTTCGTTTGTGGCCTCAGACACCCCTGTGAAGTGCCTTCCTTCAGCTTCCCTTTCGTACAAGCTAAAACCTTCTAAAGGCTTAGGATGTTTCTGTTCCTGGGCACACAAAGCTGTGCCTCGGATAGATTAATAACCGTGTGAACACGACTGTATTCTTGCCCTGTACGTTTGTCAACAAAGGGAGGTTGACAGATGGAGAAATACGTTCTCTTCGTACTTGCTAATCTATAGATTTGATGGCATGCGGTCGGTTTCGATTAGAGGTAACTTTTTTTTTATCCAGAGCTGGTCAGATTCCTTCCTTGCTTTTACCGGCCTCCCTCACTGGCAGTACAAGTGCGTTGTGGTATCATCCGGAGCACAACAGTCTTTGATCTCTAGAAATCAGGCCGGTTTTACCATTTGCAAATCATTCTTGTAAATTACAAATAATCGTTGCTCCTGAAAATAATACGGGATGCAGCTGATTTGTGTATTGGAGAAAACAGCCATCCGTTGCATGAAGGACTTGCCATTCATCCGTAGACCCACCGACTACTCAGCGCATTCTGAAGAAGTTCCCCCTCTGCAGATAAGTCTTTCCACCTCTGATGTCCTCCTTAAACTTCCCAGGAAAAGGTTCCACCAGTCTCTGACCCTTTTTACTTCTATTCCCTTGCAGGTCGCCCGGCCACGGATAGCCAGAGACTATCCCACTTCACGGAATAGGGGGCTGGCAGGTTTTGGATCTTGGCTCGTGGGAGCTGAGCAGCAGGAGGGCAGGGTAAGATCATTCCAGGCAGAGGGAGCAAGCACCCTGGGCTAGCAGCGGGGTGAGGCATGCAGACTGGAGGATGACACTGGGTGAGCTTGCTGAAGAGGGGCGGAGGGGCTGATAGGGTTGGAGAAGTTGGCACCAGGTTGTCAAGGGCCTGAAGTGTCACTAGGTCTGCATCCTCAGGAACACACGGTTTTAACCCCATGTAACTATCAGAGCCCAGAGATGTTCATGGTCCAGTCCCAGCACAGTGCAGCTGCCACAAGTTAAAGCCATTCAGATCTTTACTGGCGATTGTGGAAGATCAAAGAGGCACTTAACTCCCTCTCCCTGTTTCTGGCATTTTTACTCTTGCCTCAGACTGTCTTTAGCCCCCCCACCCCACCCCCAAGCCCTAATCCCAAAGCTCTGCTCTAGACCCCACCTGAAGTCCTCCCCCTTCTCACCCACTCCTCCTCCCCAAGTCCTCGCTTCCCAGTAAGAAACTCCTCCTTCTTTTTCCAGTGGGAACAAAACTAGCCTCTCACCCTGGAAGGCTGTGATTCTTGGCACCTGTTAAACTCACTTTCCCAACCAGAGCCTATGGACCAAAGGTGACACCAACGGAGGCTGATACGCTCACCCTCTCTTCCAGGGGAGGGTGAGCCAAAGGAAAAGGTTTCAGGGGAAGGGGAGAATCGAACACTTAAAGTTTAATGAAATTTTTAAATCCCCATCACATAGGGCCCTCCAGTAACTATGAGGACACAGCGGACAGGAGAGAACCTTGGGACAGAAAGTTACCAAGCTGTTGCAGTAATCGAGGTAAGAGCTATTAAGTTTTCCACACTGAGGTGATGACCATGTGGATAAGGAGGGGGAGTGATTCCAGAGAGCTTTTAAAGGTGCAACACACGGAACTTGAGGTCTCATCATGTTGCACGTTAAGGGGAAGAGTGAGCCTGAGATAAGCCACAGATTGCAGCCTCGCCAAGCTGGTCGAGGAGCCTTCAGGGAGCTTAGGCTATGGTGGTAGAGACGGGAAAAGACACTGGGATGAGTGTGAGTTGCTGGGGGGAGACTCAGGTGTGGTGTGCCCAGCGGCTGTACGAGGAGCCTGGAGCTCAAGAGAGAGGTCTGAGCCTCAAGCAGAGTTGGAGGGTTATCTTTCACTGAGGAGGAACTGCTAAAAAGGGGGGTGTCTGGCCTCAGGCCCCACGGGCAGGGGGTAATGCCAGGCTTTGAATTCAGGATTGTCCTCAGTGACGCTTAATCTTTTTTTTCTCCCCCTTCCATAGAGTCTCAGAATCTCATGAAAGAAAGCACGGGTTCTCTCTGACAGAGACACAGGCACCACATCTTACGTTCTATTTCCAGGAGTTCACAAACCTCAAGCCCATCTCCGTGGCCCAGAGGGAGAAGACGGCCCAAGCCGAGACCCTGGAGAAGAGCGTGTTTTGGTGAAGACAGACGGAGAAGAGTGAAAAGTCAGATCGAGGGAGGCAGGGCAGGATGAGGTTGGTTTAGACAATTGACTCCATCTTAATTGTCAACCCTATCAACCTGCTTATTTTTTTTTTCCCTCCTGCTTCTTTCTCCAGGATAATTGGAACAACAGGTATGAACTGACATGAAAAGTTAGAAGAACTTGGGCAGGGAGACTGGTGAAAAATTTAAAGTATGAGGGAGGGTGTGGCCTAGTGGTGGCCTAGCCAGGGTGTTCAGGGAAGAACTGGCAGCCGCCACGTCATGTGTGCAGGCAGCCCAGTGACGTGTGTTTGCAGTTACCCCCCTGTTCCGAGCCTCCTTCCAGGTCTCTTGTCTATGGTCAGACAAGTTGTGATTTGTCGGGAGTCATCCACGTTCAATTTGATACGGCCAGCAGTGAAGGTTAACGTACACGGGGGACCCAGAGCTAGGACGGGGGCACAGCACGTCTCGGAGCAGGGCAGGGAACAACGGAACAGGACGGGAAGGTCGGAGTGGCGGTCCCGGTCTCACTGTCAGAGGCAGCGCTGTTCAGAGGTGCTTGTGATGCCCGGGTCCTGGCCGGAGCCGGGGCCGTGGAGGGAAAGGGTGGTGCAGTGGAGGCGGCGGCGCCGGGCTGGTGCGCAGCATGTCCGCGGCAGAGGCGTTAGGGCCGAGAGGGAGCCGGAGCCGGCTGCCCGGGGGTGCAGCGAACAGGATGGAGCAGCCGGGAGGTCCGAGGGCAGCGAGCGCAGCGGGCTGGTACTGCTTTGAAGAGGAGGTACCTTGAACGAGGCTGGTCACATTCACAGCCAGGAGAGGGGAGAGGGAGCGAGGGAGTGGGGGACAGTGGACTTCGTATTGGCCCCAAGTTAATGAGCTGTAGATGAATGAAGGGCCTCTAACCCAGAGGATCCCGAGAAAAGTAGAGTCCTCAGAACCAAGTATAGAGTTTTACCAGTATTGATAATCCGCGCACAGATCCTTTGGAAAATCAGGTCTTGGGTAACTCCTGACAGAGGGCTGATATGACTGTGAGGGCGCCACCTACCGGCAGCCTTGACCAAGTGGTTACCTGCCCGAGGCGGTCTCCGTCATTGCCGGACTGCAGGCTGGTCATTCACTGGCAAATTGTAAATCGTTTGCTTTCATACATCCCATCTGCCCGGAGAAAATTATGCCATTACAGGAGGTTTCTGAATGACAAGAGGGAAGCCTCCCCCTTGACCACATACTCCAAGGTTACAATGGCCTGGACCAAACTGGTACACCTTCTTAATGTCCTTTGTAGATCTTCAGAAACTGGGAAATAATGCAGACTCATGGCTCTGTGGTTTGGAAACCCAAACCAGTGATGATTAGAGCCTTGCCTGTTTCCCAGACAGGGATCTAACTTCACTTCCCCAGAGCCGTCGTGGGGGTATGAGGGTTGTTACTAACAACTACAAGTTTGTGTAGCATTAGGAACATGGATTGTCACAGCCCTTCTCCGCGCCCCCCGAAACCCCATAATCAGGGGGACAGAGCACATCTCAGGTATCAACTGTTAATCCGCTTTAAAAATAGGTTTGAAACAGCATCAAGGATTAATGTGGAATTAATTACACAACTGACTGGCTAACGACCTTACATCAATCCATGGCTGCGGACGCCTGGTCAGGGCACTGAAGACGAAGTGTGTTCAGTCATGAAATCTTAAGTGCGTGTCGCGTGTGTGCTCGGTGAGCGGCCGAGGTGGGCAGCCTTTTAGCCATTGGGTTATTAAGCAGACACTTACTGCTGAAAGTGGTTTAGACAGTACTTGCGTTCCTAAGACGACTGCTAAGTAAACAAGTGATGTAAAGCTGTTTTAACACAGGAAGCGGCCAGAACGTGACAGAGCTCGCTTGTATTTTCTCTCACTGGAGAAATCTGACACACAAATTTTACTGAAGTAAGCTATTGGCATGATTGCCTTAAAAAATAATCACAAGATAGTTCACTCGCATGACTCCCTTTTGTCCTTGAAGAGTGTAGTATGAGTGACTAGTGTTGATAAAAGCGACAAGTCACCAACTTCAATAAAAGTACTCACCAGGAATGAAGAGGGACTAACCACAATTAAGTGTTTTAACTCTAAGTCACGTAACAAAGGAAACCATCACTTGATGATCCTCTTACTTTCATATCATGATGTGACCTTCATGGTTAAAACCAGAGTATTAAGTCAAGACTTGAATGCTTCGGGTAGGTTCTTCCACGTGACTAACGGAGGCTGCTGGCCGTCAACTCCCGGGGTACAGTATGGGGGGGGGCATGTACCAGGTCACGTGCAGTGGGCCAGGCAGGCAGTGTCAGGTGACGGTGGCCGGCTGAGCCAGGCCCTGCCGCGGGAGACATGCTAGCCTTTCAGCAGCGCTGGGAGTGTGAGCCCGGAGCTAACCTGATGTGTCCGTTTTTTCCAGAGAAGCTAGCTAGTAGGTGATGTTTGGATTATCTTTCAGGTTTTAGACAGCAAGCATAATTTTTTTTTTCTTAAAAGCGTATGGCGAGGGGTGGTGGGGAACAACAGTTGTAGCCCATTAGGGACCAGTCTGCAGCTCTGCAGCATCAGGAAGCCTCCCTTGGCATCCTGACCTTTGATTTTTCTGAGCCTTTTGTCTCCCCCAACTGTGGGAAAAAGGTGCCTGGACTTAAAATGTTACTGATGAGCCTTTTATCAGATTTAAAATCCTCTGTCAAAAAGCTGATAACCAAGGTTTGTTAAATTCAGTGAGATCAAATACCAAAAAGATTCCAAAAATGCTACTGTCTGACAAAGCGCGGCTTGGGTGTAACGACAGCAGCCTTCTACCCACGCGCCTCCGTGCACTAAGCAGCGCAGGTGCCAGCGTGCTGCTAGGCAGTTTGTAAGGGTTTCGTACAGTGAACCTCATAATTAGCCCGACTGCGACTCCAGTTCACAGCCGAGGGTACGCGCAGAAGGAAGGAGTGTCTCCCAGGGTCAGATGGCTGGGATGAGGAGGGCCGGGCCCAGAACTTTGTTCTTCCAGCTGCAGTGCCCAGTGCTCTTTGTCCTCCACCACGTGGCCTCGTTAAAGAGAGAGGTGTTAAGTCCCAAACTGACCCTTTGAAGCTTACCATAAAGACTCGGGTTCTGTACTAAAAATGGCATATGCATGGGACTAAATATGGAGAATATTCATCAAAATGTGAACGTGCACGACCTCGGTAGGGTAGGATGACAAGGGAAATCCACTGTAGTGTCTTGATTTCTTTTGTAATGAGCATA